TGGAAAGTAAAGACTATATGCAGCTCCAATATTGTTAATTTTCTCTTTTTTTAATTCCGTAGGTATTTGATAGTATTTATCTGGTGATCCAGCTTTTGTCGATCTTTGTCTGATTCACCGAGAAAACGTGCTCGGCGACAGGCGCTTTTTGATGCTAAACACCATCGTTTATTAAGAGAAAAACTCGATAAATATGCCACATGTCGTAAGGAATTCACACCAGTTATTGTACTAGGGTATAGTACAAATGCTTATAAATGGCTTGCTATTAATCTTTAGATATTTTATTGCCTCATACTGTGAGATAGCAAACTAATAAATCTCCATAATGATTAATCAAATAAATATTAAATCTTAGTTTAATCAGCAGTACGTGTAGCCGAATAATCAGCAAAATATTTAGGTATGCTAACATTCAGAAAGGCAAGAGCATTTTTTTTTTTGCGGGAGAGAGGAACAGGAAACAAGTAAAATAAGCTATGCATAAAACCAGGTTTTGAAAAGCAGATCTTCCATTTACATACTGGACGTGCTTAGTTATAATGCCTTATATTCTTTAGTACTTAAAGTACAGCAAAGGTCTGAGTAAGGGCCTGAAACGCAGTAAGTCCAATATAGGTTGTGATGAATTACCATTCTCAATACTTTTTTTTTAATTCGGACGACACTTCAAGAACATCACATTTTTCTGAGTAGAAAACACAAAAAATCAATTATGCCGTCGCCGGGATTCAGACCACAGATTTTCTAGATGCTTAACTTGAACTTGCTACTATTTGCAACATGAGACCACTCATGGGGAAATGGTGTTCATTGTACAGAGTAAGTCAAATTGAATGTCGGGGTTTCAAAGCTTTACTGTGCAAAATGTAATTAATGTATTTATTAAAAAAATATACACTGTAAAAAGCAATATATACAAGTTGCGAACAACAGATTGGAATTGTAAACCACGACTGATTTCAAAGCCTGTATCACAGATGGTACCGTAAGGATTGATACAGACATACTGCCCAAGGTTTGGCAAGAGATGTTTATTGTATGCCGTTTAACAAAATGTGCGTATATTAAACATTATATATGTAATAATGACTTAAAGTAAGCTGCAACAGATTGATGATGGCTCTCAGAGTTATAACTTGGAGAGACTATTGCATAATTAGAAAGATGACACTTGAAGAAGAGGCTTGTAGACAGACGTAGCCGAGCCGAGCATAATCTTTACTGCTGGACACGAACTAATTATCGAAACCATACTTTTCATTACACATGAGCATGAGTGCAATACGCGCACCACAATTTTATATAGAGTATCTCATTTTAAATAACGGCGTAGTTAGAAGCACGACAAAGCGCAGCGAAATGAAATAGCATCCAAGCAGCAACAGGGCTGCAAGCTAACTACGCATTTAAAATCCAATCTATAAATCTGTTAAGCGAAATATTTTGATTTAAGATAGAAAGGTTTCGGTTCTCAGAGTTTAGTTTCGGAAATAAGTACAGCATCAGCGTTGCGCAGGCCATGTGAGGTGGACTGATCTAGAAATGACGCAATCTAGAGGAGTTATTACGATTTTTAGAATACAGAGGGAGAAGTAAGGGGTTACCGTTAGTTTAAATTATAATTTTGATTTACATATTTTTTATTTTACATATCCTTCTTTCGAAGAACAAAAGGCTTGGCGATAGAAAAAAAGGCGTTTTGAGAAGAAAACGTGTAAACCTCTTTAAATAGGCACAAATAATGTGCCAAGTTGTTTGTAGTCGCAATATGTTTACTGAAAATAAAATAAAGATTTTAATGCGCCTCGGCTGCCAATCTTCTATTCATTATGGATCAACATCTCTACGCCATCAAAATCCTTGCTGTTTATTACTTCTAAGTTTGCTTCTATATATGTATATATTATTTTTGAATATATACATTAACTACATTTTACGTAGTAAAGTTTTGAAATCCCGGCATGAATTTTGATTTACTCAGTACATTTATTAGAAAACTATGAATTAAAAAGGGGCAGGTTATCAAACTGTTTTTATATACAAAAGTACTGGATTTTATTTTTCTTCTTTATCTTTTTCTTAATCAGTTTTATTTTAAGCTTCGGCTGAGAGCCGTACCATTCATTTAAACAATTATTTTTGGTAAGTACCTCATTATACTCTTTATAACCATACTTGAGTTCTTTATCTTTGTTTTCTTCAGAGAAAGTGCTGTTTCTATCACGTGATGGAAAATATTTCTCTGACAAGTGAGTTCTATTTAATTCAAATAAAATTTCTGAATGTAGTGTTATGCATTTTTGTGACCTAAAACACATTACATGTCAAGTGTTCTAAAAATAAGTGACTGGGATATAAAAACAAAAATGTTTAGTTAAAATTACTTTTTAATTATTTTTGGAAATTCAGTCGTGAAAGAAAACTTGAATGAGAATAAGAAATTTCAGATTACAGTTCAGAACTGTTCATTTTAAATTCATTTTAAAATTTACAGAAGCATAATTTACTAAATACTTTTCCCATAACATTCAATAATTTTGCAGATCATATTACTTAAAAATGTGTTCGTAAACTCCTTCTCTGTCTTATTAAAAGAATTACATTATATGAGACGCCTTTTCCATAGAATTTCTTAGCACTTTTATGAGTATTACAAACTATATTTTTGATTTACCTTTCAGTTTTTTTACATGCTTCTTGATTTCGTCTTTGTAACATATTTAAAATAAAGTAGAAAAATTATTAATTTTTGATTTTCCAAAATATTTTGAATGTTTATCATGTACTTCTGCAAAGCTATGTCTTTTAAACCTCATTGCAAATGATTAAAGGATGCATTTTCTGCAGATCTGTTATAATTTTGCAGTAAATATTTTCTGCCTTTAAAAAAAATTAAAAACAACCAGTATTAAAATGGAAAATATTTTGAAAAGCACAATGCTTTTCAAAATATTTGATGAGATGTTTTTGTTCGCCTTTCTAATTTTCGGAACTTTCATTTTATTCCATTATGGAAGGCAATGCAAAATTCCCGCATAATTACTGGGCTAGTGATGGGCAATCACTGGCTCAGCGAGTGGGCAGAACCAGAGATCGCCTTCAACTCTCTGCGCGGGTCGAAGAATTGAAATCGGGCATTTCCATTAACCATGACCCTATGAATAATATTAAATATTCTTAATACGCTGAGAATATTTCGCAACAAGCTGCAGAACATGCTTAATCGGTCCTAAATTGATCACCAGCTCCACATCGTGAAAAGACGGGATGCATGCACTTGCACATTGTGGAACATTAAAAAAACTAGTTGTTTTTCTTACAGTGCTAACCCATTCTAATAATGAGCAGCAGTTAAGCTCCAAGAAACCGACAGAATTAATTACATCTAAGTTCAGCTCAATTTGTTTAATATTACCACTAATGAAGTGCACACTAATTACATTGTTACGTGAATGGTTTTAAAAGTAACAGTTTATTTATTAATTGAAACATGGCAATTTCTTTCTTTGATGATATTCAATTTCGATTTATTGCTAGGGCAGGAGAAGGAAAAATTAATTATTCTTTCTCGTTTTACTACATATCAATAAATTTAATTATTTTGGCTAAAGATACACGATTTCTCTGATATCTGTGCATATTATCACTTGTTTGAAGAGGTGTTCAAGACCTTCGTAATATATTTAAATTGAGTGAAAATGTGTAGGTATATAGCTCTGTCTGTCTGTCTCTCTGTCTATATATATATACACATATGTCTGTGTGTGTATGTGTATGTGTATACATACTTACATACATTTCAAACTTCGTATGTATACACAGATTAAAAACGAAAGTGTACATTTTTCGGCTACTCATGAGCCCGCGGATAGAAGTATGGCAAATATGGTACCATTCGTCGAAGCAGAAAATATTTCATGTGAACTATTTATAGGGAAGAGTAGTCATATAAAAATTTATAGGGAATATATTTATAGGGAAGAAATATATATTTATAGGGATTTATATATATTTATAGGGATTTATATATATTTATAGGGAAGAAATTCATATAAAAATGTAAATTCGGTCATGGTTTACTTTGACTTGTGCTCCAATATATATAATTATTTACTAAAGTATTACAAATCTTACCTTCAAGCCTCAAAAAATTTTAAAATGTAAACAATTTTCAGAGTTCAGAAATAGAGAAAGTTTATCATTATATGAAATATTCTGTCAAACTTTAAAAACAAGAGCTCTTTTTATTGACATGGAGATTTCAAAATCAGAAAAAGATCTCGCATCGTATTTTTTTAAAAGCATCGTATTTTTTTATATTACACCTTAATCCTTTATTTTGGAATATTTTCATGTAGAATTAACTTTTATAAATAAGCTACAGAAGATTATATATTTAAACTGTTTCGCTTAACTGTTACAAAGCTCAAACGTAATAAAATATTAAAAATTTCAATTTTTATGAAGATTTCTGTACTGAACTCTTGGTGAAATGTTTAATGAAATTTAATCTTAATTAACATAAGCCTTCATTATACGTGATATAAAAATTAAGCTACCAGGTATAATTAACGTACTGATGAATATTATTTTATCATTTAAATTTAATTTTGATGTTAAAACGAATCCTAAAATAATTCACTGTTGACATCATATTACCAAAATAAATCCTTTTTTTGTTTTGAGTGAAAAATAAATATATTTCTATCAATAATAATAATGCAAATAATTTCATGCATCTCATACTAGTGCTTTTATTTGTCATAAAACCAATATTTGTCTGTCCCGCCGTCCAAAAAGTATTTCTTTAAAACAAAAATTACAAGTATTTCTTCCTTTAATATGATATATAAGGGCGAAACAATACTTCAGAATATGAATAAAAAATCAGAGTATATCTGACTGTTTTGAAAAAAATTATACAAATTAAAAATATTAGATAACATTATTTGAGCATGAACAACCTCCAGAATAAATTTCAGTTAAAAGTATTTTACCTTTTTCCTTTTTATCTTGAGTTCCAACCTGGGCTTCTCTTCGGCAGCTTCAAAGTCCTCAAAATTAGGATTTGGATACAATATTTTTCAATATATTCACATTAGAGTATTATAGAATATACTGAAACTAAATTTTGAAATGGAGTGTGCACAATTCTAAAGTCAACTGATATTCCCCCAAGTAACTCAAAAAGAGGAAAATCGTTTGAGATATATATTAAGAACAAATGATAATTTTCTTAACGTATCTCTTATATGAACTCTTGAGAGGTTTGCGGAGGATAAAGGGTTGATTAACGAAGCGGCTTCTCAAGAGGCGGGTTAGAAACAACTTTATTAAGAAATAGACCATGCTGGAGTTAACCTTGACAAAATGAGAAAGGAAAACAAGTTATTACGTAGGGGGCGGAGTCATATCGCTGCATAAAAAGTAATGCAACGTTTAGTATTGGGTGCTGAAGTAACAATATTTATCCACACCGCAGAAAAAAAATGAACTAGAAATTGCGCGAAATTTAACCTTACAAACGTAATTAAAAATGCGGTATTTTAGATCTGCAGTTTCTCAGGTCAATGCTTGTAATTGGTTTGCGTGAACTGTTAATATAGGGTATACTATTACAACGTTATGCATTTTACTGTCTGACACTAATCTTCTTTGTTTAAATTAATGTAATCAGAAATCATTTAGACAGGATAATGGCTAGAAAAATGAGACAATGATGTTTCCATTAGGTATAGCAACATCAAATGGAAATGATAATATTTATAGCAGAGATGCCGAAATCTTACAGGCATTGATGCTACTCAGCGTTTTTAAGCATTAAAAAAAATAGTTCTAACCATTTTCATTCTTGATAGAATTTTTTGCTTCAAATAATTTTCACGTTGCATTTTATTTTATGCTTACTTCAAGCATTAAAAAAATTGATTCAGATAATATAAATTCATCTTCTTTATTTTAACTTATAAAAAATATAACTACAGTTTTTTAGAGGTTTTTATTTTTCTAAATGCGCATTTATGATAAAATATTTTATATGAATTTTTTATATGTATTGTATTTATTACAAATCCTAAATTTTTATTTATTTAAGTAAATTGATAATTTCTCTAAAATTTATTACACTGTTTCTAAAACCGATCTAGGCTATTGGTCTTCAAACTGCTTTTCGTGAGATTTCGTGCTTTTCGTTGGGGTTGTTCCATACAACTCTTTTAGTGTTCCAGAAGTCGAAATCAAAATTTGAAAGAAGTAAAGAGTTTCTGAATACCATGTGGACATAAAAATTAAGCTTCTAAAATATTAATTATACAATCCCTTTTTTTCAGCGCAAAGGACGTTATCCCAGAAGGGCTATTAATTTCGTTCTGGCATGTTGTGACGTTTTACAATAAATGCCGTTTCACTTTTCAAATTGTTGCTGCCAGATAATTTCGCCTTGCATTATATTTAAAGAAATTAAATAATGAAGAATCTGCATAAATGTATGTATGTTTCTCGCACTGTGATAAAATAACGTACCTAGGCCCATCAAATTTTGAATAACGTAATCCTCCACCGAATATGGGAATCTAGAAGCCCTAATTTGGAATTTGTCTTGTTATAGATTTCATATTTCGTAACACTTTAGCGAAATTTTGATTAACAAACTCAACGATTTCAAAGCCAGCAATGGCAACACTGTAGGGGGGATTTTTTCTATCTCTAGCACGCGAAACTGTGTATCGGAAATTCTAAAGACATATCATTCTAAATTACTTTGTGATATTGCTGTTGAATTCAATTTTATGCTTTTAGTGCGAAGAACATGATATTTTATGAATAAAGGTAACACACGACGACGATATTTTTTTATACGATTTATTATTTAATATTAATATTTTTATACGATTTATTATTTTTTTATTACGACGACGATATTTATTTTATATTATTTTTACGATATTTTCGACGACGATATTTTTAAACAGCGAAGATTTTGAACCGCTTTATTTTCGACGACGATATTTTGTATCACGATGTTTTAGGACTGCGATGTTTTCTCTTTGCGATGTTTTCTCCCACGATGTTTTGTAGCACGACGTTTTCGCCTTACGTTGTTTTCTCCGTGACGTTTTCGTCCGCGATGTATTTGCCGCGATGTTATCGGCGGACACCGACGGTCTGGGTAGTCCTGGCATGCTTTATGGGGAGGCATTATACACTTCACATTTTACACAGAATGAACTTCACATTTTACACAGAGGTTCGTTTACATGGAGGTAGGAAGTAAGAAGGAGAGGCCCTAACCGGTTTTCCCCATACACTGCTTTGAAGCACTGGCGATCCTTCGTGGTGACCAAAACATTGGGGGACTTACCATTAAGATAAATGGGTTTGGACACGATCGGATGTAAATATTTTGTAATTACGGCGTAAATATACATTTAAATGTATATACGTAGGCCAGTCAGAAGGTTTGTTGCACTACTGCGTAAATATGTTCCGTCTAAGATTGGATGTTTGGATGACACTGTGTAGCAACACTTTAGACATGTACCTTTATCTCGTGACGTAGCGGCTGTCCCGAGGCAAGATTAGTTTTTCTGATAATCAGTCGCAAACATGTCTCGACAGCTGCAAATAGCGTCCAAATTCTCAAATTCTAAATGCGTGCAGTGATTCTTTTTTTGTCGGGAAAAAGGTGCTACTACACTGAAATTTATGGGCAGTTGCATGAAGCGTATGGTGAAAATGCAATGTCACGTCAATTTTCTTTTTCTACAATATTTCAGAGTCCTAAGTATGTGAAAAGTATAAATTTTTAAACAACATTTCATTCTGAACGGAATTAAATACTATATTTATAAGGCATTTCTCCCACTTTATTGGCATGCCTTCGTGGTCTAGTAGTCTGCGCGCTGGGCGCGTATGCCAGAGGTCCGCGGTTCTCTTCCCGGCGAAGGCGTTGCTAATTTTTCAGCTTGCCTGCTTACAAAAATACCTAATGTATCTACATACTTTTCACAGAGGAGTTTGCTCAGAACTGTTTAATTTGAATGAAATATTTTCACACGTTTTTCGCTAATTACATTAGAAAAATATTTTAAGGTAATTCCATTTTATTTGTTTAAGGATTACAAAAATTAAGATCAAATTTTATTGCATGATTAATATTAAAATTATGCAGTATTTGTTTTCTATTTACAGAGCTTCTTCCTAAATTACTTTCTCAAATATGACATAATTTTTTAGCTTCTGAAGCATCTTTTAAATCGTAAAATCTAAGTCAATTTATAATTAATGCTCTATTCAGTCCATTTCAAATTAGAGTACCTTTTATTAATAGTGAAATACGTTAAATAGTACTTAACGTTCTCTGAATATTTCTGAAAGGGAATAAAAAAGAGATTTTTTTTAATATTATTTAAAACTTGTAACTGAGTTATTATAAAATGTGAGGGAATATTTTTTTAATTATACTTATTAGATTTTTTTACCCTTAATTTCAACAATACATATTTTAAAACTCTTCTTTATTACTTCCTTAAAGTACGCATCTTATTGAATTAGCTTTACAATACCTTTTAACAGATAACCTTCCGCTACGAGCCCACCAGCTGCCGAGCGGTAAAGACGCTGAACACTGGTAGTTCGGTCCGAGGTTCGAATCCCGCGAACGGGCTGGCTGTATGGGCGTTTTCGTGGTTTTCCCCATGTGTAACGTGTATACGAGCCAGTTTCCCTTAAAAAGTCCTCCACGAAGGCATCCCTCCCTTTAGGCAGATAGGCCTCGTGTGCTTTACCATAATTGAATAATCCACTTACGCTAAGAATAATTTTTGCTTAAATAGTTTTATAAAAGTATTTGTCAACAGGATTTCAATTTACGTTTACAATTCAATGTTAAGGTTATTATATATATTTAGATAATGTTTATAATCATTATAAATTTAGATGCATTTAATAATTAGATTTCGTCACAGTAACTTTCACAGGAGCTTTTGAGTCAATAAATCCTTCATTTCAAATACATTTATAAATAATTTAATAATTATTTACGTATTTTGTTAAAGGCTTTTTACAAGCACATGCATAAATACCTGTACAATTTTCATATGTTTCGAGTAAAGTAATTTACAATAATTTAGCATATACCCGAAATTTTTATATAAGAAATATGTATAAATATAATTTCAATGAAAATTACATGCATTATTTCTAATACCCACGCAAAGGTCAGTTTTTCTTCGAAATTTCTCCGCGATGGCATCTCTCCCTTTAGGCAGACATCCCTTGCATGCCTTACTGTATTTAATAAAAACTTAACCTGACCTGTGTGCGTAATTACAAATATTTTAACAAGCATAATTTTATATTTACATTTAGCCATCAAGTTTCAAACTTTTGATTTAAAACAGGGGTTTAGGATACATTCATTATCAAATTCAAATCATCTTGTGAATATAATTTGGCAGAGCACGAAATACCTCTTTTAGCGATTCTACCCAGTTTATTAATTCTCTGATAATATAATAAATAATAACTATCCATTTCACATTTAAGCATTAACCGCATTGTCATCAGATCGCAATGTTGATTGCCTTATAAGGTTTATTAACGTTTATTTTTAATTTAAAACTTTGCTGTCCTCTCTTATTTTTCATTTCCAGCCAGAATAAGTGCGAGTAGAAATGCTTACGCTAATGAGGTTGCAAACTGTATGGGTATTTAAGATGTGGCTTTTAGCCAAGAAGAGAGAGTGGCTTCTTGCTGCCCTGCCACGCGTGTTCTTTTTAAGGCCACGCGTGTTCTTGCTGTTATACTAAAACGTATATAGTATCTGCATTTCTCTCACTACATACGCAGTGTCAAAAAGCCAATCTTCACGTTACTAGCACTCTTGTAAGGCATATAAGTTTAGTTCTTATTTAGTTTAGTTATTTCTCATTTTCTACGTTTTAGACCAAAATTGGTGGTTTCTGTATCCCACTGTACGCTGTGAGAAATAAAGGGTAAAGTTAACCCTTCTTATTAGTGTTGTTTGTCCTACACATAGGAGCATAATTTGAGCAACCTCCCTGCTTCCATTCAGGATTGCTAAATGTTCCAAAAGGCAATTAGAAGGAATAGCAGTCCTGACAGGCTTACTCTGCATAATAGCTTCATTTTTAAAACAGTTAAAACAACTAATTGATCTAAATTCACTTACCTGAAATTTTCATACTGTGAGGTAATCCAGAAGGTAACAATATACAAAGTATATTGATATACCGATTAATAACACTTTTTATGTCTCGAAATTGTTTCAAAAATAGCGGACCACTACTCAAGTA